GGGTCCGCGCGGGCCATCGCCATCGTCTCGGTTCTGGTCATTCTCATTTCCATCATCACCTTCTGCCTGGAGACCCTGCCCGAGTTCAGGGATGAGCGCGAGCAGCTGCGCCACGCGCAGGCGTCCCACCAGGCTCCCGCCCCGGCCCCGGGCGCCAACGGCAGCGGCCCCATGGCGCCCCCCTCCGGACCCACGGTGGCACCGCTTCTGCCGAGGACCCTGGCCGACCCCTTCTTCATCGTGGAGACCACGTGTGTCGTCTGGTTCACCTTCGAGCTGCTGGTGCGCTTCTTTGCCTGCCCGAGCAAGGCGGCGTTCTCGCGGAACATCATGAACATCATCGACGTGGTGGCCATCTTCCCCTACTTCATCACCTTGGGCACCGAGCTGGCCGAGCAGCAGCCAGGGGGCGTGGGAGGCGGTGGCCAGAACGGGCAGCAGGCCATGTCCCTGGCCATCCTCAGAGTCATCCGCCTGGTCCGCGTGTTCCGCATCTTCAAGCTCTCGCGCCACTCCAAGGGGCTCCAGATCCTGGGCAAGACCTTGCAGGCCTCCATGCGCGAGCTGGGGCTGCTCATCTTCTTCCTCTTCATCGGAGTCATCCTCTTCTCCAGCGCCGTCTACTTTGCAGAGGCCGATGACGATGACTCGCTCTTTCCCAGCATCCCTGATGCCTTCTGGTGGGCAGTGGTTACGATGACCACAGTCGGTTATGGGGACATGTACCCCATGACGGTGGGGGGCAAGATCGTGGGCTCCCTGTGCGCCATTGCTGGGGTCCTCACCATCGCCCTGCCTGTGCCGGTCATTGTTTCCAACTTCAACTACTTCTATCACCGGGAGACAGAGCAGGAGGAACAAGGCCAGTACACGCATGTCACTTGTGGGCAGCCTGCGCCAGACCTGAAGGCAGCTGACAATGGACTTGGCAAGCCTGAGTTCTCTGAGGCTGCCCGGGAAAGGAGACCTAGCTACCTTCCCACGCCACACCGGGCATATGCAGAGAAAAGAATGCTCACTGAGGTGTGATTGATGCAGGCAGGGCCTGCACAAGAAAAATGGCCCTGAACAAACAACCTCGTAGACTTCCTTCTCATTGTTCGCAACTCTCGTCCTATAGCTCTGTCCAGCTGACTTCCCAACTCCCTCCTCAATGCCTTGTGGATGGTATCCAGCACCAAATACCTGAACTCTAAACCTCGTTGCTTGATCCCTGAAACATTCAAGGTTTCATGACATTTTGAAATTCCAATGGTGCCACCCTTTCATGTCCATCTCTGTTATGTGGATGAGATATTATGTTTCCCTCTGACTTTCCCTTAAAACAAATTTTTAACTCCTGAGACTTAAAAGATCCCTAAGAACAAAGATGCTGTTGGGATGGAAACCAGGCCTACCTAAGTCAAATATCTCTCTTTAGTACCCTCTGCTTTGGGGTATTTGGTCACTGGCAGAAGCTGGAGGACAGAAACAGTGCTCAACCTCCTAGTTTTTTTAAACACCCTGTGACACTTGTTGGTCAGCCTGCTAGAAGACCCCTCGTGGGACCCTTAACTGCACAGCCTCCAAATAGGCAACTCACCTCAAGTCTTGGGTAGAATTAGGGAAATTATAGTCCAGCATGACCTTTTGAAGGACAATAGGGTCAATCTCATAGATATGGATCGTTGGTCCTCTCAACTCTAATCCCTTGACTCCGTCTTCCAGGAAGGTTTCTCCTTAGAACCAAACATTCTTCACGTGCAAGTGCCTTCCTGTGCAGAGGAATGGGGAGAAGGGGACTGCAAGAGTCAAGAGTGATGGCTGTGCAGAGGCAAGCAGCTGGCTTGATCACGCATCTAGGAGAGGTGCCACTTAGCTGGGTGTTGTCATCTCTGAGGGCCGGAGGAATCTCAGTGCAGACTGCAGATTTCATTCCAGCCATCTTCCCCCACCTTCTCGAGCCCCTCCTTCCTCTTCCTGAGTATTTGATTTAGGCTGGCATTTGGAAGCTTACTAAAGCGACAGGTAAAAAGCACAATATGAATGCCAGCGTGGGTTTCTTCCCACCTCAGAGGCAATAAAATACATGGTTTGGAGTAAGGAATGAGTATTATTCCTTTGCCAACAACCTCAGTGTTAGAGGGTTGTGGTGTTTTTTGTTTTGTTTTGTTTTTTGCTGAGTCAAGCAAACATTTACCTGCCTGACCCCCCTCAGAGCTGAGGCCTATTTGCTCTCCCTGGTAAGGCAGCCCGGTGGTGTTACCCACCACCCTGAACAAGCCATCCTTTTCCATTGTGAAACTGCCTTCCATCCCCTCCCATTCCCCATCCAGAGTCGTTGTCACTCATCTCTGCCTCGATAAACTGTGATGTTCTATTCTGAGCTCCTTCTGGGCACAGTTCAGAAACTGAAGGGACTGTTACCATGTTTTTAATTTTGTATCTATGCTTTAAGACTCTTGGATGAGACATCTTCTAAAAATTGTTTTTCTTGAAGAGTGACTTTTTGAGGGTTTCTTGGGAGGCAGCATGGCTCTTGTGAGGACCAGATTTAATCTGGATTTTGCCACGGCTTTACAGGGTAACTTTGGCGCTATAGTTCCTCCTCGTGCCTCAGTTTCCCCACCTATTAAATGGGAACATTACTGTCTTCCCCTCCCTACCTCATGGGGGATGTTGATGAACTCATTGAGGAAGCTGGGGATGATGCTATGCAAATGTGTGCGTTTTAGTTACTGACTTAATTTTTAGTTTGTTACTTTCTTTCCCCATTCCCCCACCCCCCTGTGAGGCTTTTCCTGAGTCCTTGCCTTGAATCCAAAGTCCAAGGATAGGCCATAATGGGCCATTAGTTCCCTAAGTCCTTGCTTGGCCTCTTGTGCTGGCCTCAGTTTCTTCTTACCCTTCAGAAAGGAGGACGCTCTGTAGTTAGGTGTGTGGTTGGATTCTTTCAGGACTCAAGAGGTCACCTTGACTGGGAGCTTGTCTGTATTCAGTGGTTCTGAAATACAGAGAGAAAGAAAAGGTGCTCGTAATGCAGAACCTTGCTCTAAGGACCAAAGGTGTTGGTTTTTTGGATTTCCCCAGTCACACCTGGGCATTGAACAAAGAAAGGGAAGTACTCAGTCCAGAGGCAGAAGTGTTGCTCTCAGCTAAGGGTAAATGTTGGTCCTTGTAGGCATGTTTCTGTATGTGTGCGTATGTCATCATCCTCATCACCATCCCTCAGAAAACATTTCCTTTTCAAGTCACAGCATGCCTGGAAGTAAAGGGTGTGTGAAAGCTGGGCTCTCCAGGGATGCTGGTTGCCATAGCAACCTTCCCAGCCTGTTCTATCTTCTGATTTGGGCAGCAAGGGACAACAGAAGACTATATATTTCCAGCTTCCAGAATGAGCGGCTCTTCCACTTACTGGTTTCAGGGTCTGGGACAAGGATGCATGACATTGAGAAAATATTGGGGAAGCAGGTCCCCTAAACGTTCTCTCTGGATTCTTCTTCCTGGTTTCTCCACTCGGCCACTGATGCCGCTTCATCATCCCCCCAGTTCCTCAAACACTTGAATACTAAGTAACTTCCCAGTTAAACCAACGTTTGTCAAACTGGCAAGGGGAGAGCTTGACTAAGAGGAGTTGTTCCTCGAGAGGCAGCGGGGCTGGGCCTCGCAGACAGTAGAATAGTTTTGGGTGTCCTGAAGTTCTAGCTTCTCAAAGGAAAATGCTTCCCAGCTCCAAGAAAGACAGAGATGAATGAAACTCCTTCCTCCTGGGGGACAGTGTAGCTCCTGGGAGGAATCTCACAGGTGGATCTTCTTGAAGAAAAATGGCGAGCCTGTGACCTGACCCAGTTTCCAAGAAGGGTTTTGTCAAGTGATCCCTCTCCGACCCTGAGCCTCTGTGCGGAGGTTGTTCCCAGAGCACTGGGGCCACATGCACTTTGTGTGGATGTGACAGCTGGGCTGGGGTGGTGATGTCGCTGCTGCCAGGGGAAGGTGGGGCTCCAGTCATCCTTGTTACACCTGATTGCAGCCAGCAGAAGCTCCCAAAGGACTTTGTGGAACTGCTTCAGCCCCAGGCATGGGGTCTTCTACCGCCTGAGCGTCTGGAGGAGAGAGGAGGGACAAGGCTGTCTTTCCACCAGAGGTAGGTGCTGCTGTTGGGAAATTGGTTTTTAAGTCTTCTAGGCAAAATTAGAACTCGAGTGGAGGGGGTGTAGGTGGGCTGCAGAGTTGGAGAGGTTTAACTCCATCTATTTCCGGTTTCTTTTTTTCTGTCACCTTCCAATTCCTTGTGCTCCCCACACCCCATCATTTCCTTTTCTTGGTACTATTCTTTCCTTTCACCACCGTCACCTTCTCTGCTGTCCTCACATTTGTCCCCCCTCTGCCCACCCCTGTTGTTTTAACCTCTTCTTCTCCGTGTACCTTTGCAGCTGTCTGTCCCCCTCTGTCTACCTTTTCAGTGACCAGGGGCACCTGTAGCATTTCTGTTGAGGCCACGCAGTTGACCTGTAGGACAGAGGTGACTCAGGGTGTTTGCTGAAGGTCTCCAGCCAGAGAACTTCCCCTGTTTCTGACATTCCCAGCATGCCCTCCTTCCTATAGTCTTCCCCTTTCTGGGGTGAGAATCTTGAACTTACCGAGCAAGATGAGATTGCTATGCATATAGAAAAGTATCTCCCAGAAATTCCTGGAACCTGCAAGAAGAGGAGACAGATAGACTATAATGGGTCTGACCAATCTCAGGTGAATATTTCTTTTGCTCTAAGGAGCCCTGGTACAATGGCATGGGGCAGCCAACTGAAGGGTCAGTGGTTCAAATTCACCAGACCAGTTGCTCATGAGAGACTGATGGGTAGTCTCCTCCCATGTAAAGACTGACAGCCTCAACAAAACCTGATGGTGGGTCCCTGTGTGTTGAATCACTTGATGGCAGTCAGCTTGGTTTTTGGTTTGAATGTGTCCACCTGAGGCACCTCTAACATTAAAAGGCTTATAGATAATGTTAGAGACAAAGGAACAGAAGAAATAATAAAAATAATCAGAAAAAAGAGGACATAAGAAAGGATAAGGTTGGAATTAGTGTGGAAAATGCCTTAACTCAGGGCCTTGTAAGAGCCCTTGTCTTGCTCAGAGGTTCTCCTCAGGCTGTCTCTGTTATGCAGTAGAGGCACCACAGAAGGGAAGGTGGGGCCTGAGTCATCCACAAGTCTGTCACGAAGCTCAAAGACTCTCCGTCCTGGAGGTTATACAGTGTAGAGCAAGGCCCACCTTGGAACATCAGGATGAACTGAGGGACAACCCCCCCCCCCCCGCCAGAGGCTGAACACTGCTTGTCAAGCAAGCATCAGGGAACATCGGAGACAGGATGGCGTGCTCTAAAAAGGATTGTGGGGATAGTTATACAACCTATAAGTTAACAACAACAATAACAACAAAATCACTGGGCTGTAAAAAAAAATAAAAACAAAACCAAGGGGAAAAGTAGCATGGGACTAATAACCTGGAAGTCTCACACCTATAATAAGAGAGAGGTTTGGTTTTATAAATCCACATGTTTAGCACCTTCAAAAGTGGGCCGGAACTCTGGTTGCCAAGTCCGTCCCTAGTTAGTAGTGTGTTGCTCAGTAAGCAGAGGGCCTCACGTGTCTGATGGTTCAAAGCCAGCAGTTGTTCTAAGGGACAAAGGAGGAGAGTTTAAGATTTACACCCCTGAAAACTCATTAGAGGGTCACTATGAGTCAAAATCAACTTGATGGCAGTGACTTTGAAGGTTCTTTTGAAACATGGGCCAGAAGGAATATCCTGGATAGAGTGGCAGTTTTGTTCTTCTGCCACATGGGGACACTTCAGAGCTTCTATCTAGCTGCCTCTTGCTACTTCATGTAGAGTACCAAGAATTGCATTTTTTTTCTTTTTAAATTTTCACAATCAAACCACTGTCAGATTGACTTTTTTTTTTTTTTAATTGGCTCTGATGATAGGTCCAGCTATTTTGGTAAGCACAGAGCATAATTAAATCATAGTATTGAACTCTGTTAAATATGCCT